CAGTTGTGGTCGCAAAATTAATGGAATTAGGGTTCCAACTCGTCTCACATCCCCCCTACTCTCCAGACTTGGCTCCCTCGGACTACTATTTGTTCCCCAATATGAAGAAATGGCCCTAATTCCATTAATTTTGCGACCACAACTGCTGAGGTGTGAGCTGGTGCGTTATCGTGAAAATCACTCGACTTCCTCGATTCAAATGAATGCCAAACACAAACAAATAGACCGATCTGGCTGTAACTTGGTGTGTGTTCCTCCAAGAGATGCTACTAACTAAATCTAACCTTGATACGCGCCAGTAGTGTCATGTCTCTGACTTTGCACGGACTTTTCAAACGACCCTCGTATGTATATCGCACAAATTAGCTACCTTGAATCATTTTCAGAGAGCAAATTTTAATGAATTAGTAAGGACAAAAGAATACATCCAGTATTCTATCCATTATTCCTATATGCGTCTTACTGATCTACAGACAAGACAAATAATTTTTCTCAATTCAAGGTTGCCCACCACATAGCTCGATAAAAGTGACCGTATGAATCTCACATCAAAACACAACAAAACGCATATACGCCACAAATAATAATTAATGAGAATTATCAAATCTGAAATTAATAAGTCCTATCGATACTTTCGTAGTATTGTATTAACACGTACAAATAGAAAATGCAGTAAAAAAGAAAAATTAGATAAAATTAGTCTCTACTATTCGCCGTCCAAAGATGATAAAGATTTTTAAATATTATTCTATTGCAATTACAATCTATATAAATAATAATAATATTATCATCACTTGGCTAAACTAAATTGCATACAATTTCCAAGGTATTATAACAAGATTTCCAAATATTTCAGCTATTTTTTTTTAATACAATTTTAATACGTAAGAAATCTTACAATAATAAATCCCAAAGTACCAGACAATTTATACATTCTTTTCAAATAGTTCCTCGTAATTGGAACGGCTAATAGTATTAAATATGTAGATAATTAGTTGAGAGAGTTTCTCTTCTAGTGCTGCCATAACAATATTAATAATATCTGTAGTATTGCTGTCTACAACACTTTTGATAGCTTGATGCAGTTGAACTAAGTCTTTTTCACTTTCATCAAATGTATATTCTATTCCTGTGATATTAATATTTGTCTTTACTTTTGAAACGTATATCTCTTTTTTCTCATTCTTAGTTGCCACTTTTAGATCCAGATTTACTTTTATTATTGCGTCATCTGCAAAAAAAAACACATGTTTTGCTAATTTTAATAAAACATAATTAAACTTTTTTTCTGCTAAATTTCATTAAAATTTTATGTTATTTTAATATACCATTTAATAATAAGAGATTAATATTTAATATGTAAGATTAATATTTTACGTACTTGTTGGTTTTATGGTAACCAGTCCCTTATTAGCAAGAGGCACTAGTACACGTATGTCGAAGTTATACGAAGCATTCATTCTCATTTTTCGAAGTACAAGTTCAATATTATAGTGGAGTCTGTCAGGATCTACGTGAATATATTTTATATTTGCATTATCACAAACTCCAAGTATTTTTATATCTTTGAGATATAATTTAAGATTATTTGTATCAAAAATAACTATTTTGTCCATAAGTACTGATTGGTTGTTCAATACGTTAACATCATAATTCTTTGTGCACATCGTATCTATCACACTGTAAGTATTGTCCACAATGCATTGATCATAATTAGGATCTTTGCGGCCACATGGATGAATGTAGGAAGCTGTAAAATATTTATTTTCTTTAATTTCTAATTTTTAATTAGATTAAAATAAAATATTAATAATAATAATTGTAGTACATCTTAAATTAAACTAAAATAAAATAAGTTCGAACAATAATATTGGGTTGATTAATAATTTTCTTTGGTTTTTTAAGGATGTTTTGTAATTTTTTAAATATTACGAATTTAATAAAAATTTTACAGATTATTTTTACATATTATATATTCGTAGACCTGTGACAAAATTCAGACTCGATATATCGAAGCAATCCAAAATTACAAGGATTTTAATTTGCAACGAATTTATTTAGTACCTATTTTCAAAATATTACAAATTTAATAAAAATTTTTCAAATTGTTCTTTTTTTAGTATCTACATCTTAGTATTTACGTAAAATTTGAAAACAATTTACTTTTTAGTTCAAAAATTCTTTAACTTTTTCTCTTGATTCTTATTGGGGATTCTTATCTCTGTATTAGGTACTAAATTTAATTTCCACGGTTCACATTTGGTGATGCTAGTTGTAGGTGTAATTTATTTTAACATCTGAAGTTGGCTGCATTTTAGAGGTTAGACATTTATCAATAAAATTCAGTGCGAAAAGATTCATTTAAGCGAACAGTGCCATTTTTTTTTTACCGAAAATGCCACTGCAGATCTCTTAAACATCTCTATTTCTCTGCTCGCCAGACAGAAAAAAAAGTTTTTATGGCGCATTGTGACTAGCGATGAAAAGTGAATCTATTTTAATAATCCCAAACGCAAAAAGTCATGGGTGGATTCTACCATCAACATCTACACCAACCATCTAGACCAACCATCAACATCTACACCAAAGCGAAATATCCATGGCCACAAAGAAATGCTCTGCATTTGGTGAGATATATTATATAAGGCATCGTTTATTATGAGCTATTCAAACCAAACAAAAGTATCACGGGGGATCGATATTAATTACAATCGTCTGAATGAAGCATTATTGAAAAAAAGGCCAACAGTAGCCAGCAATCGATGCAAAGTTATGGTTTTGCACAACGCTTGACCACACGTTGCAAAAGCCGTCAAGGAAACATTGATGCAGCTTAAGTGGGAAGTTCTCCCGCACCCAGCGTATTCACTAGACTTAGTTCCTTCAGACTATTACTTGTTCCGATCGATACAGCATGGCTTGGTAGATACACACTTCAGAAATTACGAGGATGTGCGAAAATGGATCGACGAATGGATTGCTTTAAAAGACCAATCGTTCTATCGTCGGGGAATCCACTTATTGCCACAAAGGGGAAAATGTATAACTAGCGAGGGCAAATATTTGATTAATGTATTTTTTGTTTTTGGTATCGAGATAAATGAGTTTTTTAAGCAAAAAAACCGCGGAAACTAAGTTTAGTACCTAATAAAATTGTAATTTAATAAGAAAGTAATATTAAGAATTAAATTAAATTTTATATACATAAAATTATATACATATATATATATATATATATATATATATATAAATATATTAAAATGTGTAATATATTATACGCGCGCGCGTGTGTGCATGTGTGTGTGTAATATATACATATGGTATATTTATATATTTATATACATAAATTTTGTATACTAATGAAATGATAACAAATACTTTTGCAAAAGTTTATTTAAATTTACTTATTTATTTAAAAGTTATTGACTTAAGTATTCAACACTTAAACACTTAAATACTTAAAATCATTATAAACCAAATTTTATTATTTTATCTTTTGCTTTACAGACTAACTATTAAAATTTGTTTAATAATATTGGTTGATATTAATTATTTTTGGATAATTATTTGAATGATACTTTTAGCTGAGATATTATGTTAGACAAAACAAATCTTTAAACAAAAATTAAAAAAACAAAATAAAATATTTTTATTTCAAAATATTTGTAATTGACAATGTTACACAACATTCTTCACTTTAATCTTGCCATTTTTCAGGTAATTTCATGATGCAGTTTTTAACCAGCCATTCAGAGTGTAAATCAGAGTGATTGAAATCAATATAACAAAAACGTCGGAACTATTTGCGAACAATCCAGTCACTTACAGAATTATTTCCGTACACATCGAAAATTTTTTTAAGACTGTGCAGCGTTTTTTTCTTTGTGGAAATAAAACAGCACAATGTATCAGAAATATAAATTCTTATTCTTTATATTTAAAACACAATGCCAAATATTTGAAATTTAATCAATCTTAGCAATTTTTTTTTTTAAATCTTTCACAAAACATTTATTTCAAATATGAATAATCATTTACTAGTCATTTAGTATTAACTTTGCCACCTCTTGAAAATATTGGAAACTTATTTGCCAACTCAATATCTTAAACAGATATTTCAAAATAAGTACTTTTTATAATGCAACGTATAGCATTTTTCATTGGCAGAACTAGTGTGCACTTAATGCACTTTAAAATCGCTGTACACAAATCGACATAAAGATATACATTTAATAAAAATATAGAAATAAATTAAACCGCGCAATATTCAATACATTTTATTGTGTCATTTGATAAAGTACACATTTTGAACATTTTATCAATTGAGATATTTCACTTTTACACACACATTTAGATTAGAACAATGATGAATTAAGCATTTTGCCCCTAGGCACCAACATCTAACCATCTCAGATGGTTTCATTTATTAATTTATAAATTTAATAAAAGGGAATATGGATAAAAAAATTTATATTCCCGCATTAGCTAGTAAAAATATTCAATAATCCTTAATAAATAATATAATGTGAATATAATACATTTTTAACTATTGTATATATTTAAAATATGGTTCTGATAAAATATGCTCGGTCTAACTCGTGCGAAAATGTTAGATTAACAAATTAAAAATTCCTCTCAATTATGTAAAAATTTTCAGTCTTGAAAAATTTATCGCTCCCTCAAATTTGCCACCATGTGCTTTGTAAACCTATGCGTTAATCCGTCACTGGATTAGAATAATGTACGATAGCTTTAATGTACACTGAGTGCGCACTAGTTCTGCCAATGAAAAAACCTTATAAAATAAAAACCTTTACACTATTTTATTTGTTCTTAAAATACAAAATAATTTTTTATAATGTCAGAAAAAGAGATTTGTTATTAATAAACTGTATTGTATTTCTACTATAGTATAAACCAAAGCCTTCCAAAACACACAACAAACACAAAATCGGGCCCAAAATTGCTCCTCGTCTGTTCCAATGCTTGTTCCCCACTATGGGTCCAACGCTTTCCCTCTATTTGTGGCTGTACATTGGCGCGACGACGCGGCGTATTATTTTGTATAGCGGTCAAGCGCGATTTGATCGAAAGATAGACACGTATATCGAAAAAGAGACAAAATCAAAAGAAGCCGATTATTTATGACTTATTTTATTTTCGTTTACATCACTTATTTCGAATATAACTCTTAGAATCAATAGATTTCATATTGATTCTAAGAGTTATATTTTAAATAAGTGAAGTAATAAGCCAATGAGGTAAAAAAAAAAATCAACACAAGATGTCCGTGTATAAAATTTCTTTATATTATATTGTACTATACATACGTTTCGATCCTTGCTTTCGGTCTTCTTCAGTGTATCACTAAGATAATAATTTCTTGATCTCGCATGCCAATAATTTAATTTTAATAGATTTGTTAAAAGTTGTTATATATTGCAAAAAAAAATAATCGAAGTAAGAAGTCCAAGGATAAAATTCGTTCAATATATTCAAGAATAAAACGTCTTAGTATATAGAGACTACTTAAACAGTTAGTCAAATTAATGTGTAAAAAACAATAGAAGAGGACCCAAAGCGAAGATCAAAACATTTGTACAGAGTGATATAAACTTATGAAGAAATTTTACACTCACATCCTGTACTGGCTTATTACCTCACTTATTTGAGTTTTATTCTTTGGAACTTATTCAATTTTTATATATTATTAGTTATATTTTAATTTAATTTTAAAAATGGCGAAAAGATTAAAAAATTTACAGTTGCAGCAAATAAAATTGGAAAATAATTTTTTTACTCTTAATGACAGTGGTCAACTGCAACATCTTATATGTTTAAAAATGTTTTACCAAGCCCGAAAACATATTATACTAAGAGATATTATAAAAGTTGTCATGAAATAAAGTATAAAAATTACGATAATAAAACAAAATCAAATTTATTACGAGAATTAAAACTTAAACATGCAAATTTATTGCAAAAGCATGTCAAAAATACATTTCATCAAAACAATCTTTATTGCTTCTTATATCATTGCTTTACTTACAGTTCGTGAAAAGAAAAGTTTTTCTACAGGAAATCTCATAAAAAAGGAGCCATAGAAATGGCAAAAGCTTTCAATTTTCATGAAACTGCAGAATCTTTTAATACCGTACATTTATCATCACAAACAGTTTCACGAAGAATTAATGTTATTGGTAATGTCCTCAAGAATAAATTAAAAAATTTATTAGTGATATTTAAATACTATTCCCTTTATTTAGACGAGAGCACTGATAATTCAGACATAAGTCAGCTATTTGTCGATATTTGTCCGGATAATTAAATGTGATTTCTCAATTCATGAAGATTTATTAATATTAGTTCCATTGCATGATACGACGAAAGGAATCAATATTTATAATGCATTGCAAGAGCAAGTAAAGAAATTTGTGGGCTTCTTTGATAAATGCTCAGCTATTGTTACTGATGGAGCACCAGCAATGATAGGAGAGATCCAAAATTGGTCTAAAAGGATTACTTAATGAAAATAAAAATAAAATATTTAATGTTTTATTGTATTATTCATCAGAAAGTTTTGTGCGGAAGAGTGTTAAAATTGTCCGATACAATAAAAATTGTAACAAAGATTACAAATATATTATTAGGCAACAGATTTGTATTACTCTCCCATCGAAAATTTAAATTATTTCTGGACGAAATTAATACCAGTTATTCAGATTTACAAATGCATTCAGAAATTTGTAAATTTCTGATGGTTAAGTGCAAGGAAATGTTTAAAGCGTTTTTTTTTGCGCTTCGAAAAGAAATTCCAAAGTTTTTGAAACAATATAAAAAACTCATCAGATTTGCAAAATAATTTCAAAAATACTAATTTCCTCAAAGAATTAGCTTTTTTATTGATTTTCTAATCACTTAATCTTCTGACTAATCACTTAAATACTTTAAATTTGAAACTTCAAAAATGAGATCAAACTGTTTCTGATCTAATCAGTTATGTGTTGATGGATTTCGCAATAAACTTAATCTATTTTTAATTGAAATATCTAGAAATGAATTCCATCATTTTTCTTGTTGCGAAGAAATTCAAAAAGAACTGGTTAATATAAACCTTGACTTTAATACAGATTTCAATGTACAAACATTGAAGTGTATCATTGATGAATTCAAAGCCCGTTTCAAAGATTTTGATAAAATAAAAGAAGATTAACTATTTTCAATAATCCTATGAAAGTCAAGATACAAGATCAAGAAATAAAATATTGACAAGAGCTATGTAATTTACAAGCAGATATATTTTTTATATCTAGAACTGATTTAGGATTAGAATTTTTTAAGATTTTATCATTGAATACGTATTCAAATTTCAAAGATCTTAGGCTTCGAATTTGTTCTATGTTTGGATCTACACACACACACGCGCGCGGGCGCGCGCGCACCCCTACATACACATATATAGTATATAAATATGTATATAAGTGCATTTTTATTAATGAAATATATTAAATCTTTAAGACGCACTTCACTTACAGATTTAACACTGATACGTTCAAATGCGAATTGCTGTCACATCGATGGAGATTAACATTTTAACTTTGAAATAAAATACAATTACATGCTTGCAAAATTCATATCAATGTTACAAATTTAGTTTATTTTTGTAATTCTTATATATTTTCGGAATATTGTAATATTGTATTGTAGTAAATGTTTCTTAAACTTAACTGACTTGTAGCCCTTTTTATTTATATTGATTTATTTTATTTGAGCTATTTTATAATAATTTATATGTTACAAATTTATTTTCTAGTTATAAAATTTGTAATCTGTAGTACTTTTATAATTGAATGTTAATAACAGATAATAAAAATAAAAATTTAAAAAAAAAGTAAAATAAGAAAATAAAGTAATAATTTTAAAAAATTATAATTTAAAATATATAAAAAATAAAAAATTGAAAAAAAGGAAAAGACAAAAGAAAAGATAAAGGACACAAAAATAAAAAAGCCAATATCCGCCACGTCCACGTTGTTGGTTCTGGGCATGATAGAGAGTGGAAAATTAATTGCAAAGGAGTTTTTATTTTAACATTAAATTTGTATTTAATGCATAATAATGTAAATAGCAAATTAATGAATTCATTGTACAATAACTATTAAAATCTTAGAAACAATTACAAAAATATAACAAAGTATTTTTATTAATATTTTTAGCAATTTTAATTTCGAACTGATTCTGATAACATCAGGAAATAAACAAGTCAGATTTCAATGATTTCATATTTTATGACGGTTTTTCTAAATTGATACAGTATTCGTTTTAAAATAAAATCTGACGTAAGCGAGCACACATAATTGATATTAGAAATAAAAAATTAATTTTTATAAATTTTAATTTAATGCCTCTCTTATTAATGCGTTTTTCAGCACACAATTTGCATATTTGCTTGCGGTTCTAAACGCGCGTGGCGGAAGGAAAGATAACGTTGGAGAGGGTAATATTGAGAGGAACCTGCTTACCATTGAAACTTTGGTAGGGACCCGATCACGTAACCATTTGGCTCTGTTATAGACTATTTAATCAAAACTTACTGTCATCGATTTAAGATAACATAATTACTTTCAAAAATTTAATTATATATTCTAGATACATTATTGCATTATTGCAAAAAAAATTACTTAATCATTTCCGTCTATTATTTTTTATGTAAATATATTATATGCATAAGAACAGTAAAAGATAAATACTTTCTAGAAGAGGGAATGAAATAACATCAGAAATATCATTAAAAAAATATTATTAAAAAATTTCAGAAAATTCGTAAATTATTATTGTATAACTTTACATATAAATTTAAAAGTTATAATAAATTCTTTTATTTATTACAATTGATAGATTATTCTATCAATTGTAATAATAAGCTGTTCCACAGCTGAGGCATTTCATGTCAAAACGAATATCTTTGAAACATCATCATTTTTTTTTTAATTTGCTGACATTTTACTAAGAAAAATATGAGATACGTGTTTTGCGAAAAAAATTTGAAATCTCTCGGTTTAACATGGAATGCCTCAGCTATGAAACTAGTTGTCACATGCACTGTCTTATGATAAATTTTATCAGTGTAAAATTTTTGCATTATCAAAATGTGACGTTTAATGTAGTATAAATACCATACATACAACTTTAAAGTTCCAATAATATCAAAATTATAAGCGATTGTTACACCTTTACGAAGGAAATAGTAGGGAATATTAGCTTATTCAAAGCTGTAATTATTTATAATTTATATGTATATATCAGCTGCGCTATTAATTTCTACAACTCAGCTAATATTGATTGTTATTGCTCAACTGGTTTTCTATTTTAACATTGCATAGGTCAATTATCATAAATTAAAATGAACTTATTATTATAATTTAAAATAAAATTTAAAATTTTAATCTGTTATAAATCATACAACATATTTACTTATAACCTTAAGAAAAATAATAAAATGTGCATTAAATCTAACAATTTAATTTGTGAGATTATTATTTCAGTCCATTTCATTAAATCCAATTGTAATCAGCGCAGTTTAAAGAACGAAAAAATATATTTGATGTATAATATAAAATTATATTAAATACTAAGATTTAGTCGCGACCGTATAGGCTTTTTCCCTAATTGTTTAATTTATATGTATAATTCTCTACTGTTATTACATATATTTTAATGAGCATTTATAAGAAATAAGATTAAATCATCATTTTACATAAAAACTTGTTATTCTAAACAAGAGATATAAAACAGTAAGTTACAAATATTCTATGAAAAAAGAATTTAATTTATATTAATGTATTTACCATCGATAAATATCTTGTAACTTAATTATTTATCTTTATTAAAATATATAATTATTCCGATAATAACTTATTGCTTAATGCGAAGTAATACTATTGATAATGAGCACAAGGTAAGTCATAAATCAAGACAAGCATTTCTTTTGCTCTTTGAAAAAAAATAAATACTCGTATTATTATTATTATAATAAATTATTAAACATTATTAAAAATTTGAAAAATTATGTTACACATAGCAGTATTAATTAATATCAAATCTCAAATAATTTAATGTAACACTTTTAAACTAAGGTATTCAGCGTAAAACTAATATTTTATGAACTATATCAATAAAATAATTTACACAGGTTTCTTAATGCTAAAATTTTTAATTGCTTCTGTTGTTCAACTCAACTGTGTTAAATATATTTCGTTTTTCGGAAATAATATAAATACAAGACAAGTTTGTATAGAATGTAATATAAAATTGCAGAAATTTTTTATAAAATATTTAAATAA